CCATCCAGCTGCCTGCGTCAGGTCCCGCCACCGAGCTAGCCCAGCACCATGGATGCCGACTTTCCGGGGGCAAGGAGACCTGGTCAAGGCAAAGGCTGACGAGCCAGCCGGAAATCAGCTTCCTGACCTAGTTGTCTCCATCCTGGGAGCAGTGGCCAACGCCCTGCTCACCCAGCACCACGTTGCCGTGTACATCGTCGCCCCGCAACGTGTTGTTCTGGCAATGCAGAAGATAGCAGCACGCATCTCATTTCCAGTTACGGGGTGTGCCTGGCGATTCAACGTACAAAGCGACGGAGCGTTCAAGAGGGAAAAAGAGGGTACAACATACGGTATGCAAAGGGGTCGTATACAGTCGTTCCGGCAAGTGCCGCCGCACCGGGAAACAGGTGTGCCAATTGATGGACGCAGTGAGCCGATCGCACAAGTTAGGGTGCTGATCTTCGCTCGGCTCCGAGCTGCTCGCGGCATGCGCTGCAGCCCACGGGCTGCAAGGATGCTTCCTCGCGCTGCACGAGACGGTGCACGGCCCCACTTTTGCCGAGGATATCAGAAGGATGACGGAGGAAGGAGGATGCGCGATCCTTGCAGATCTCGTCATCGACGGCATGTCCGTCTTCAGCGCCCTGCTCGTGGACCCGGTACGGCCGCCTTCCGAGAACAGCATGGCAGGCCACCTGTGGTGGTTAGTTGACCAGCTTCGCACCAATCAAACAGTGACCTGCTCTGGTGCGACAGTCGGGATTTTCGGGCCGAGCCCATGACCAAAGGCAGCATGCGCGCGCCGGGATATCTTTCTCAGTATGATGGACGGCCAGATCGGCTATGACCAAGATGCGGTCAAGTTTAGCGACGAGAAGACTAAGGTCGTCCCGATCTCCCAGCGCAGTTTTCCCACCCAGCACTGAAGAGGCGAATCGTGTGATTGTGTCACAAGGCCGACCACCGTAGCTCTGGCGCCCGATCAGATTCGCTCCGCTCGCCGGAACACCTACCCAGCAGCTACGAGATCGCCAAGTTTTCGGGCACTCACGGTCGAGAGCTTCAAGGATTTAGGTTTTCTCCAGCTGACTGTGTCAGAAGATCGGTAGCTGTCATTTCGCATGTGCTCCACAAGTAGTTTCTAGAGCGCGATCAGCAGGGCGCGATCAGCAGCGCATGTTTCACGAGTGTGGTCAGTAGAACTTCCCAGGCAGCACGTTGGCACCAACAAAGTCACCACGGACTTGCTTGAGCACCGGACTCGAACGGAATGCCTTCCTGTCATCATTGTCTCACCCCATCGATACCTGCGCCACCCGCTGCTGTTGTCCAGGCGGTACCGTGCCCTGCGCCCGCAATTGCACAAACTCCTTAGACACATTCATGCCGCCTTCAGATTATATTGTGTTTCGTATTTCTCCTTGCATCCATTCCTCTAGTCCCCTCCTTATCCTCCTCCCTTTCATCCTCCTCCGCCCCTTCATGCTCTCTTCTCCCCTTCATCGTTTTTCCCCCCTCCCTCCCTTCTCCTCCTCTCCCCTCCTCCCCCTCCTCCGCACTCACCCCCCTCTTCCCTCCTTCCCCCCTCAGCGTCTCCGTCGACGGATTTATCCTTGTCCTGCGCCCCCCCCCCCCGCAGGGGCACTACGAGGAGCTGCAAAAGATCCTCGCCTTGCGGCAAGAGGCCCACGAAGCGGCCGTGCAGGACTCTTCGAAGCCTCTTGGGAGGAATTATCGCTAGGAGGGGAAGGAGGGGAACAGTGAGGTCCTTCCTCTTCTTGGGGTTCATCCGTTCAGATGTCCCGAGGAGACGGCCCCGTATATTATTATGTGATCGGGGGTTCCGTTGGGAGAATTCGACCCAAAGCACAGGGTGGCGTAGCCCAGGATAGGGCCTCGGGTCACATCCCGGCCACTGGTACAGGTTACGGCAATCCGGGGCTCTTCGACGACATCCGCGGGCACCCTCTCGATGACTTGCCGCCGTGGCCAGACACCCGAGGGCCCCATCCCGGCAGTCCCTCGAGTGGTTCGAGTTCCACATGGATTTCCAGCGCCAAAGCACCATAATGCCATGGCGTTGACAAACCCACCCGGGCTCTAAAAAACCAGCCGCCGTGGATCACTGTTGGCCCATCCACCGAGGTACCATCTTAGGCGACTTTGTCCTTTGTCCCAGAGGACATTGTAGTTCCTGAGTGCCTCCTCCTGTTATTTCTCACCGTTCCACGTGGCAAGCTTTGCCTAGTCCTTCGCCCGAGTTGTCGCCGGCCGTTGATTTTGTCACGCGCTGCTTGTTACGCAAAACAGAAGAAAACGCAAATCACGAAAGTCGGTTGCCGAATGGTGGCGAAGCTTCGGCGGTGTCCCCCGTCCGTATCGGGGGGACAGCCGACTCGATCACCTAACCCAGAACAGGGCTGGCATTTAGTCTTGATGCTGGGGCCTGCTTTCATAATTATTCACGCTTCGCGTACCCCCTCCAGCCAATCCAGAAACGATGCCCATGAGAGTTGACGGGGGGAAGACGAACACAGAAAAAATACAGGAGATATGGGGAATTCTGGGATTCGTGGGTATTTATTTGTGTGTCCCAGGGCCGTTTCAGAGAGCCTGGTCATGACGCTCATAGAAGTCTCAAGCGAGAGTCTCGTTGTGGACAGGAGCCGCCCTCCGCCCGTGCAGGTGCTGCACAGTCCAGGAACCGCGGGTCGCAGAGTTTGAAGACGTGTCGAGCGACCGCCTTGTTTTGCAGCCGAGCTGGCTTCCATCCTGGTGTAACTGTCGTCCTGTCGGATCGAATGTGCGCGGCGCTGGGGCGCGAGCCGCATTTTGAGAGCGACCAGTCTTCCGCCCTGTCAGCTCTTGGAGGCTTGCCAGGAAGCTGCGCGCGGCGTAAGGGCGAGAATCGCACGACCGGTCCTCCATCCTTGTATCTTGTGGGAGTTGTACCTGAGCTTGGCGATGCTACTCTGTCATGGCTTCTCAGGCTCAGGCGAAACTCCTGGCCCGTTCGAGGCACACGCCTGGAGGTGCGGCAGGGGGGGCGTTATCTGTGGCTGGAGCCTCCTCGCCCCTCTCGCCCCTCTGGTCCCTCTACAGTCGTCCCTCTGGGCGACACGCTATCCCTCGCAACATGATGACGGTGGGTGAGGGGGGGAGCCTCCTCCTCGCCCCTCTCGCCCCTCTAGTCGTCATTGTGGCCGCCGCCGCCGCCGCCGCCGCCGCCGCCGCCGCCGCCGCCGTCGTCGTCGTCGTCGTCGTCGTCGTCGTCGTCGTCGTCGTGGTCGTCGTCGTCGTCGTCGTCGTCGTCGTGGTGGTCGTCGTCGTCGTCGTCGTTGTCGTCGTCGTTGTCGTCGTCGTCGTCGTCGTCGTCGTCGTGGTCGGTGGTGGTCGTGGTCGTGGTCGTGGTCGTGGTCGTGGTCGTGGTCGTGGTCGTGGTCGTGGTCGTGGTCGTGGTGGTCGTGGTGTTCGTGGTGTTCGTGGTGGTCGTGGTCGTGGTCGTGGTCGTGGTCATCGTCGGCGTCATCGTGGTCGTCGTCGTCATCCTTCTCTGACCTCCTCCTTTGTCTTTCTTTGCCCTCCTCGTCCTCGGCTTCACCCTCCCCGTCCCTACGGTAGGTTCGTGCGGCGTTGGCGCGCAAGCGACGCCGGCGACGGCGTTCAAGGTTGAATTTTACGATGTGGAAGCACCGATGTACGCGTTAACGCCATTGGACCCGACTGAATTCAACCTTGAACGATCGGGGCCGCGATCGGTTCAAGGTTGAATGATCGAGGCGGTGTCAAAAACCTTTGCGCGCGCCGACGTCGCGCGAACCTACCGTACCCCCATCTAGTTGTCGTCCTCCTCCTCCTCTCCATCCTCGTCAGCCTCGGCGTCGTCCGCACCCGCTCCGTTCGCAGGGGGCCCGGGGCCCAGACTGCTGCCTGGACGAGCGTTCCGATTTCGACCGTCCACCTGGCCGTCGTCGTCGTCGTTGTCGTCGTTTTCGTCGTCGTCGTCGTCGCCGTCGTCGTCGTCGTCGTCGCCGTCGTCGTCGTCGTCGTCGTCGTCGTCGTCGTCGTCGTCGTCGTTGTCGTCGTTTTCGTCGTCGTCGTCGTCGTCGTCGTCGCCTTTTTTTGTCCTCTTCCTGTTCGACTCCACAGGCAGACTTTCCCTGCTACCATGCTTCTGTCGTCTCTCTTTCTATCCCTGGAGGGCGGGTCGGCGTGGCCGCCAGGAGTACCACAAGTACGCCGGCGAGCACGGCGCCGATGGCAGAGAGTACGTGCCGCGCGGGGTGCATGTACGCTGAGCATCCAGCCTCGTCCGCCTTTTCCCACTCCACTCCTCTTGTCCTTCCACTAGGTGTTCGATTACGGACCTCTTCTTGAACGCAGCCATCCAGCTTTCGCGAACACAGGACCGCTTGAGACCGCCAAAGACTGCCAGAAACCGCCGAAGACCGTCAGAAGACCACCGAAGACCGCCGAAGACCGCCCGAAGACCGCCCGAAGACCGCCGAAGACCGCCGAAGACCGACGGCCCAGGAGCAGTGGGTAACAAGGGGGTCCATGGTCAAACACGTAGCTTCCACTCACCGTCCTCCAGCCAGCCAGCCAGCCAGCCTCCTTCGTTCCTTCGTCCGCCCGCCTCCTGCCCCTTCACCCGCCCCCCTCCTCCTGCCCTTCTGCACCGTCCTCCTGGCTCCTCCCTCCCAGCCTCCTGCCCTTCCTCTTTTCTCCTTCCTCGTCCCGCCCTTCTCCGCCTTCCCCCTGCCTCCTTCCTTCCTCCCTCCTCCGGCCTGCCTCGTCACCTTCTGCCCTCCTCCTTCCTCCACCCTGCCTGAAAACCGCTGACACGCGAAGGGCCGAGTTCTACTACGCATTCCATCCTCCCCCCTCCCTCCCCCTCCTTCCTCCTGGCTCCCATCCTCCCGCCCAGCCCAGCCTCCTTCCTCCCGTCTCCCATCCTCCCTCCTCTCTCCCAGCCTCCTTCCTTTCTCCCCTCCTTCCTCCCGTCTCCCTCCACTTCCAGCCCAGCCTCCCGCCGGCGCGCCGCGCCGGTCCCCGGCCCGCACCCGAGGGCCTGCCGCCGTGCGCCTGGCGCGCGGTCTCCAAAGGGGGTCTCTGCGCGCGCAGGGGTAACCAGGGGCTACCACGGCCCTCGTCCTCGTCATCCCCCTCCCTCGTCCTCACCGTCCCCTGTCTGGTCCTCCCCATCCCTCGTCCTCCGTACCCCTTGTCCTCCTCGGCCCTCTTTCTCGTCATCCCCATCCCTTGTCCTCCTCAGCCCTCGTCCTCCTCTTGTCCCCTGGGAGATGCGGTGCGAGAGCGCGAGGGTATGCGCGCTTCGTGCAGCGCGAAGCGCGAATTCTTGATGAACGGAGGCACGCCTCCAGGCCGCTCAAATGGGGTCGAAGTCGATGAGGTCGGTGGATTGCGCAGCGTCGCCGTTGCATCGGCGATGCAGCTCGATGTGGATCCCGACTTTCTCCATGTTGACATCTCCATCTACTCGGACCCCGCTTAGGCGGCCTCCAGTGCCGCCATGGGTCGAGAAGGCCAAACAATCTGATCGAACCGAATTGGGAGGACGACTGGCACGACGACGGTGACGATGACGATGATGGTGGTGGAGATGATAGTGATCCTCATGATGCGGAAGACGCCGAGAATGATGATGATCATTGCTACCCCGGATTTTCCCCAAGCAGTGCTTTTAATTGGCTCCTTAGGAAATTGGTTGGGTCCAGCGAGGGTCTTCCATCTTGCCGCCTGTTGCCGCTTCGTTGACGCCTCGTGCGCTAGGTTGGTCTGGCGAGGATTAGCCCCAGCGTTGTTTGTTATCTCGTCGCCACCTCGTGCGCTGGGTGGGTCTGGCGAGTCTTCGCCACGTTGCCGCCTCGCCTTGTTGCCGCCTCGTTGCCGCCTCGTGCACTGGATGGGTCAGGCGTGGTTTCGCCACATTGCCGCCCATTGCCGCCTCGTTGCCCCCTCGAGTGCTGGGTGGGTCCGGCGAGTTTTCGCCACGTTGTCGCCCGTTGCCGCCTTGTTGTCATCTCGTGCGCTAGGTGGGTCCAGCGCGGCTTCGCCACGTGGCCGCCCGTTGCCTCCTCGTTGCCGCCTCGAGCGCTGGGTGGTTCCGGCGCGGTTTCGCCACGTTGCAGCCCGCTGCTGCCTCGTTGCCGCTTCGTGCGCTGGGTGGGTCCCGTGAGGTTTGCCGCCTCGTGCGCTGGGTGGGTCCAGCGAGGTTTTGCCATGTTGCCGCCCGTTGCCGTCGCGTTGCTGCCTCGTGCGCTGGGTGGGTCAGGCGTGGGTTCGCCACGTTGCCGCCTTGTTGCCTCCTCGTTGCCTCCTCGACCGCTGGGTGGGTCCGGCGAGTCTTCGCCACGTGGCCGCCCATTGCCGCTTCGTTGCCGTCTCTAGCTTGCACTACGTATTCTGCACCACATTAGCTTACACCACGTACATCACATAGCCTGCACACTAACAGTGCAAAGACTTACTGTTTGGGATCCACGCTGGCTGACGTCAATGTATAAGAGGGGGTCTGATTCGGGGGGGTCTGGTTCGAGCTGTCCTGGAGAAAGGGGACGGGTCTGATATTGATGTCCTGAGTGTCGGGCGAGGCGGGCTCTGTTTCGATCAGTCTGGGACGTGCTGTGGGGGTCTCCGGTTTTTCATCAGTTGACCCAGCGAGTCGGGGTCTGTCCCAACATGGCGCGAAACGTGAAAAGTGAGGGGGCTGGGATGAGTTTGATTTGTGCCATGTTCGCCTTCGATTGGAAAGGGGAGGTTTCCTCAACGCCGTTTCTCGACTTCGGGCGGGGGTGTCAAGATTTTATTGTTTTGACTTTCGACCTCCGCTGGAGGGGCAGTCTCCGCGAGCCTGTCTGAAACTTTGGGGGGGGGGGTGCGGCATTATCTTTCGAGTGCCAGCCCTCAGCTGGAGGGGGGTCTCCGCGATGCTGTCTGGAAGTTCTGGTGGGATCCGCCTTTTGATACCTCCAACGCCTGCTCTTGCCACAGCTCTGACCCTGTTGGGCCTGGCGTCCAGCCGCGTGGTCCGCGCCGGTAGGCGTGATGCACACTGGCGCACTCTGCCATCGAGGTGCCGATCCGAGGCCTTCGAGCCCTTCCCCCGAGCGGCTGCGAAGGAGGCCCCCTCTGCCTCGGCCTCCTTGCGGACATCGTCGGCCCATTTCCCCAGGGGGGCCAGGCTGCTGCAGGAGTCAGGAGGGACAGAAACACAGACACAATGAATCGTCGATTCCTGAGAAAATATGGGAAAATATGGGAAGTGGGGGGGAAGACAGAAACCCAGAAAATATGGGGGAATATGGGGCATCTTTTTATTTGTGTGTATTTATGTGTGTGTGTGTGTGTGTGTGTGTCCCAGTTCCCCTCCAAGATTGGCCCGCGCAGCTCACGCGCCACCCGAGATCTGCACAGCCAGCCTCGCGGCGCCCGCGGAGGGCCGCAGGCTGGCCGACGGGCGCGGCTGGCGCGCCGTGAGCCGGCGTGCTTCCGCCGCTGGAGCCGTCGTCGTCGTCGTCGTCGTCGTCGTCGTCGTCGTCGTCGTCGTCGTCGTCGTCGTCGTCGTCGTCGTAGGGGCCGTGCTTCTAGGTCTCCTAGATGGGGTCGGAGCAGATGGTGTCGGAGGATCGCGCCACGTCGCCGGTGCATCGCCGATGCGGCTCGATGCGGAGCCCGATGTGCTTTGCGCCGACGTCGCCCGTCGCCGATGTATCGCCAGCGTCGCTGCTGCATCGCCAATGCATCGCCGATGCATCGGCGATGCATTGGCGATGTGGTACGGTCTTCCGACCCTATCTGCTCCGACCCCATCTAGGAGGCCTCTAGTGACGTTCCACCTTGGTGCTGTGATTGCAGAGGAACCTTTGCATCGCCCTCGTGTAGGCGAAGTGCGTCTCGCCCGCGTCAGCCCACACGTCGGGGTCGCTGTGCTTCAGGCCGCGCCGCGTCCGCTCGGTCCGACCCCAGGTTTCTTCGCGCAGCTCTTTTGTGAGAGTTTCCAGCGCTGCATGGCTCGGGCCCCGAGGGGTTGCCACACGTCGGTTATCTCAAAGCTGTTCTCGTTGTCCTGACGTCGACGACGACGACGACGACGACGACGGCGGCGGCGTCGGCGACGACGACGACGACGACGACGAGGGCTGCCAGGAAGCGCACACGACGGCGACTGCGATGGCGGCGACAGGGGGCCGGCACGCGTAAACGAGGATCACGACGATAGCGTCGACGACGGCGACGTGGACGACGACGAGGATGACGACGACGAGGACGACGACGACAGGTTTCATGTAATGTCCCGCCGGCCCGTCCTGCGTTTTCGGCGGTCGGGATACACTTTCCAATGACCTTTCCCCAACACAGAGTGAAGGTTGTATTTAATGCCTCGCCCGCCCGATATGGACGCCCTATGTTTGAACGAATTGTTCCTTTAATGTCCAGCCCGCCCGAACGGTGTGTTCGGCGGTGGTTAGCGATTACACCCTTAATTTTCTCATTTCGCACAGTGAAGGTTGCATGAAATGTCCCGCCCGCGCCATTTGGGCGCCCCATCACTGACTACATGTTTGATTTCATGTCTCATCCGCCCGATATAGACACCGCATCACTGAGTGAATGGTTCCTTTCATGTCCCGCTCGCCTGAGTGGCGTCTTCGGTGGTTGTGAGCGGTTTTATTATAACTTTCTCATTTCACATAGTGAAGGTCGAATGATATGTCCCGCCCGCCCACTTTGGACGCCCCATCACTGACTACTTTCTTTTCCTTGTTTTTTTGTGTTTCGTGGTTTTTATTACCTAACAGCTTTTGCTGATCGGTTTCTAGTGGGATCAAAAGAGAGCATCTTGACGCCCCAGGGGGGTCTGGGCGGGATCCGGACACGGGATTCGGACAGATCCGGACAAAAGTGCAGCCCTAGGAATCCTTAGGAATCCTTAGGAATTCTTAGGAATCCTTAGGAATCCATTCCCAGAACACCATTCCCAGGTCACATTTTGAATGCCCGGAGCCAATTGTAGGCCACTTCGTGTTCTTCGTGTTCCCAGAACACCATTCCCAGGCCACATTTTGAATGCCCGGAGCCACCTGTAGGCCACTTCGTGTTCTTCGAGTTCCCAGAACACCATTCCCAGGCCACATTTTGAATGCCCGGAGCCAACTGTAGGCCTCTTCGTGTTTTTCGTGTCCACGGAACATAATTCCTGTACCATTTTTGATTGCCCGGAGCCAGCTGTGGGCCATTTCGTGATCTTCGTGTTCCCAGAACACCAGTCCTATGCTATATTTTGAATGCCCGAGCTGAGGCAGGCTGAGGCCGAGGCAGGCTGAGGCCGAGGCTGAGGCTGAGGCTGAGGCTGAGGCAGGCAGGCTGAGGCTGAGGAGGCTGAGGCTGAGGCTGAGGCTGAGGCAGGCTTGAGGCTGAGGCAGGCTGAGGCTGAGGCTGAGGCTGAGGCAGGCTGAGGCTGAGGCTGGCAGGCTGAGGCTGAGGCTGAGGCTGCAGGCTGAGGCTGAGGCTGAGGCCGAGGCAGGCTGAGGCTGAGGCTGAGGCAGGCTGAGGCTGAGGCTGAGGCTGTGGGTGAGGCTGAGGCAAGCTGCTGCTGAGGCAGGCTGAGGCTGAGGCTGATGCAGGCTGAGGCTGAGGCAGGCTGCGGCTGAGGCTGAGGCTGAGTCAGAGGCAGGCTGAGGCTGAGGCTGAGGCCGAGGCAGGCTGAGGCTGAGGCCGAGGCAAGCCGAGGCAGGCTGATGCTGAGGCTGAGGCTGAGGCTGAGGCAGGCTAAGGCTGAGACAGGCTGAGGCTGAGTCTGAGGCAGGCTGAGGCTGAGGCAGGCTGAGGCTGAGGCTGAGGCAGGCTCAGGAGGCCGAGGCAGGCTGAGGCTGAGGCAGGCTGAGACTGAGGCTGAGGCAGGCTGAGGCTGAGGCTGAGGCTGATGCAGGCTGAGGCTGAGGCAGGCTGAGGCTGAGGCCTGAGGCTGAGGCAGGCTGAGGCTGAGGCTGATGCAGGCTGAGGCTGAGGCAGGCTGAGGCTGAGGCTGAGGCAGGCTGAGGCTGAGGCTGAGGCTGATGCAGGCTGAGGCTGAGGCTGGCTGAGGCTGAGGCAGCTGAGGCTGAGGCTGCAGGCTGAGGCTGCAGGCTGAGGCTGAGGCAGGCTGAGGCTGAGGCTGAGGCTGACGCTGAGGCTGAGGCAGGCTGAGGCTGGAGCTGAGGCCGAGGCAGGCTGAGGCTGAGGCTGAGGCAAGCCGAGGCAGGCTGAGGCTGAGGCTGAGGCAGGCTGAGGCTGAGGCTGAGGCTGTGGCTGAGGCTGATGCAGACTGAGGCTGAGGTAGGCAGAGGCTGAGGCTGATGCAGGCTGAGGCTGAGACCGGCTGAGGCTGAGGCTGAGGCAGGCTGAGGCTGAGGATGAGGCCGAGGCAGGCTGAGGCTGAGGCCGAGGCAGGCTGAGGCTGAGGCTGAGGCTGATGCTGAGGCAGGCTGAGGCTGAGACAGGCTGAGGCTGAGGCTGAGGCAGGCTGAGGCTGAGGCAGGCTGAGGCAGCCTGAGGCTGAGGCCGAGGCAGGCGAGTCCTTCGGAATCCTTAGGATTCCTTAGGAATCCTTAGGAATCCCTAGGAATCCCTAGGAATCAGGATTCCTAAGGATTCCTAAGGTTTCCTAAAGATTCCTATGGATTCCTAAGGATGCCTAAGGATGCCTTAGGAATCCCTAGGAATCCTTAGGATTCCATTGGATCCTAAGGCCGTTGCCACTGCGACTGTCATTGCGAATGCGACTGCGATTGCGAGAACAACAGAATTCTACAACTGGATTCTCACCTGAATCTTAAGGGGAATGCTTCCAGATATGCTTATACACATCGCTGTTAGGTTGCTTTGCCGGGATAATTGAAGAAAGTAATACCTGCCGGTGTGATCTCGCACTGCATCACTTCGAAACTACCGACCGTGCATGGGATGTGCGCTGGACTGAGATGTGTGCTGGGATGTGTGCTGGGACGTGTGCTGGGACGTGCCTGGATGTGTGCTGCTTTCGTGTGCTGGGATGTGTGCAGGACTGTGTGCTGCTTCCGTGTGCTGGGATACGTGCTGGAATGTGTGCTGCCTTCGTGTGCTGGGATACGTGCTGGGGTGTGGCCTGGGTGTACTGAGGCCTCTGGGCCAAGATGTGCGTTTGGATGCGTGCCGCCCCCGTGTGCTGGGATGCGTGCTGGGATACGTGTTGGGTGTGCTGGGGTCCACCGTGCCCCCCCGTCCAACCACCCTCACTTTCGACTGACTGACCAACCGTGTGCCCCCCCGCACCCCTCCGCCCCCGTCTGCTTAACCTCGTGCCCGTGAGAATAAACATTAGGGGATAATAAAGTTCGGGGTTCAGGGAGAGATAATAAAAGTAGCCCAGCAGACCTCAGCATAATCTCGAAGTAAGAGATGATCAAGAGGAGACCAAGCCGAGCACGTTTTGAGACATCCTTGGCGTTTAGTTTTCATAGAAATATCCTCAACAATGGCTTATCTCTCATGAACATTGTTTTTTGTAAGTGCTCGTGTAGGGTAGCTCATGTGCCTCAATTTCCATGGATAATCAACCCCAGAGATAAAAAAGTTCAGGCGAGCGTGGGGACAGAGAGAAATATAAAAGAAGAAGAATACAGTAGAACAATAATAAGAAAGAAGAAGAAGAGGATAATAAGAAGAGGACGAAGAAAGGAAAAATCCAAAGTTCCAAATCTAGCAATTTTAATTTACAAACGCTTTATGAAAATTGATTTTTTAAGTGCTCGTGTAGGGTAGCTCATGTGCTTCATTTTCCATGGATAATCAACCCCAGGGATAAAAAAGTTCAGGCGAGCGTGAGGACAGATAGAAATATAAAAGAAGAAGAGGACATTATAATAATAATAAGAACATTGCTCGTTTCGTTTGAGTCTGCCTCCCCAAATTATTGATTTCGCTTGACACATCCGGAAAAAGTGTGATCGCTTCGCTTGATGTTGCTATATCAACATCGCTTGATGTTGCTATCTCAACATAGCGTTTCGAGGTGATAATGAAGTTCGGCCTCAGCGCTCGCCGCCCAATTTGAATTTTGTATAGGGCGACGATAATCAACTCTAAACACTGAAGGGGGGGTCCCTTTATTCCGATCATCCCCCGGCATGCGGTCTCCATGTTCCGACCGACCGACCGTGGCCCCCGTCTGCTCTCCGCCCGACCGACCGTGCCCCTCCCCCCTGCCCCCCTGCCCGCCTCCGCCCCACCTCTCCCCGTCTGATTATTCCGACCGACCGACCGTGCCCCGTCCGCCCTGCCCGACCGTGCCTTCCCCTCCCCCTGCTCCCCTTCCCTGGTGACCGTCCTGTCTGCATGTTCCGACCGACCGACCGTGCCCCCCCCCCGCACCCGTCCGCCCCGTGCTCCCGTCTGCTTACCCCGACCGACCGACCGTGCCCCACCAGTCCACCCTTTCCCCCCATTCCGACTGACCATTCGTGCGCCCCTCCCCCCCC